GACAACTATCAGTTCTTAATTCAAGGTCTACTCTGGAATATAGTTCAAAAGGAAGTTAAAAAAAAAAAAGCTTATCTTTAAAACCAGAAGTTTTGTTAATTTACTGTCTCTGATACATGACTTTAGCCAATAAGGATATCTGAAATTTTTATAACAACCCCTAGAAAAATATCATGTTAAGGATTTTCTTTCTTGGACTGGGTCATTAGTATAGTTCAAGATAATTTGTTTATTAGAATTTTCTAGTTATTTAAACATTCCATTCTCTAGGGTAAGAATTGAAATACCTGATAGTTCTGCAGCAGGATAAGACTGAGGTAGAACTCGCTGAAGGCCAGTTTAAGGTCTTTAATGTTTCTGTGTTGGACACGTTCCTCATGGGACAGGTGGAAGACTGGCTTTCTGCGCTGCCGCAGCGTGGTAACACCAGTGGTTTCTTTCTGAGCATCCAGTGACGACTGGAGCTCATTCTGAAGTGTAGCAAACCTGCGCTGAGCCTCGGCAAGCTTCTCTGTAAGACATAAAACAGAATTACCCAACAAGCATAATAACAAAAGCATGTAAAAGTTCTCAACGACTTCTGAATTTTTATTAATCTACTTTACTTAGGTGGGGGAAAAAATGTTTGGCTGTAATATTTAAAACTGAACAGAGGGAGAATATGTCAAGATGGCAGAGTAAGCAGATGCACTGAGCCAATTCTTTTCAAAAAAGAAACGAAAGACTAAGTGAAATGGCTACAGATGGAGCTCTGAACATCAGGATGGAGAGGTGGTTTGATTGCTGACTGGAACAGGAAGCTCAACAGAAGCAGCCAGAGAGAAGAAAAATGGGCAAACTGTGGTCTGATGTGGACATATTGGGCTTCTGTAACCAGCTGTCGATACACTGACCTACAGGCACAGGAAACTGGAGGTTGGCAGCAAACATGTACAGTTCTCCCTTGTTCCCATGCCTTTTGGTAGCTAGGGGCCAGTGCCCACCTTCACTAACCCAGTCGCAAGTGGCACCACTCCTGTGCAGCCTCTGCTCTGCCTTAGGTTGGGCACTGGGCATAGCACCTAGCTTTTGGAGGTACATGAATCTACCCTAATTCCAAGAAAATATAAAATATAAACCTGAATGTAACCCTGAAAACTAGCCCAAGCTTACCCCTAACACTAACCATAGTCATAACTATAGCCCTTAACCCTAAACAAAATCCTAGGCCTACCCTAAACCTAGTCATAACTATAACCATCCATAAACGTATCCAACCAAGATGAATAACTCGTATCCATCCCACCTGC